CATATCTCGTCGCGTTGCTAAGCGTATGGGGATAGAGTCTATTCCCACATGCCTAGCAGCGCGGCGAGATACGATTGGCACGACCGCCCTACCTCTGGTATTCAGCGGTGGGCCGGACGGATTCGCGTTTATTCGCCAATCTTCAAAAATTAATATCTCGTTAACAATTGCGAATTTTGCAAAATGATAGAGAACTTTTCTGTTCAATTTAATCTGCTCTACCAGCCTACGAGATATTGGGCGGTTATTACCGGACACCCTGTATAATATATATTATATATATATTTAATATATATTCTAATATATGTACGATGTGTCCACGACTGTACGCCGCCAATGTCGGACCGAACATGATCTATACGCGTGATGACGACAACCCCCAAAACAAGAACACGCCTTTCGTCTTTTCGATTAAAGCGTGGCTTTACAGTTTTATATACATATATCATTCTCACCAGCTCGATCGTGGAAGCTCCTCGTCTCTTTCCGATGTCCAAAATCTCGGGACGGAATCGCTCGCACTCTTTGTCGGATCGCAAATCCTTACGAGACAACGGCACAGCACAGTATGAGTCCACCTTTGAAGTTTGATCTCCTTTTCCGGATCACGTTAGGGATGTGCGATTCGGATCGATCTTTTGAAGAATCGATATTTTTAACTTAAAAAAATCGATTTTTTAACGGAACGTTCTTAAAGCTCTACTAAATGACGTCATAGGCGCCAGTACTTGCAGTGAACACAGTATAACCAGTAGGTCCACTCAGCGAAAAACTGAGTCTTCGCGCAGGTATCGCCGCGCAACTTTTGTTTTGGGTTGGATCCAATGAAATGCAAGACGATAGGAACGTACATACATACATATGTGCAGACAATTTATAAGCAATTACATCAGAAATTTTCTTTAGTGATCACTCCTACGAATAATTGTTACTAATAAAACGTTTTATTCGATTGAATTTATTGATTATTACACATTGAATTTATTGATTTACTGTATCGAATCCATATTACTTATCTGTTTTATTACTTGTGAGGCACTTTTCTCAATTCGGTCCTGGATTTAACATGATGGATGCTCACGTGATCCGGAAAAGGAGATCAAAGGTGCCGACACGAAGTGGACCTACTGGTTATACTGTGCAGTGAATATCGGAACGCACCCTATATACTCAAAGGTGGGAACGCACATTTTGACTATATTGATTATATAGTCAAAGGTCTGTGGTGTGAACAGAGTATAGGTTAAGTAACTCGCTGTAGCGTTGAAGTAACTAGTTGAGATCTCTTTCCTTATAAAAAGAAATTAATTTATTTTATTTATCGCCTGGGCCCAGATAGACGTGCATGTATATAAAATAATTTCTGTTTCGTGAGCAACTATCCTACAGATATGGACGACAAACTTCGGCAGATGGAAGATGAGATGAATAGGTACGATGAACAATTTTTGTTTCTTAGATTTTGTCAAGCATTACGAGATTTTTACTCAAACCTTGTTTGATTATTTTGCATATTGTAAATGTATTTCTGTGTATAATTTTGATATACGATATCAATCATAAAATCACGATATGAAGAAAAAAAAAGAGGAATAGCGAGGTTAAAAATTTTATTTCATTATTTATTTCTGTCTTTAATTTATTAAATGTAAATTTTAGATTTGAAGCTGAAATTGGAGGGCAGCTTGTAACGCCAATTGTAAGACCAGTGATTGGTGCAAACACATATAATCAGGTCGCTAGGCAATTGGAACAACATGAACTCACTACGCCAGTAGTTGCAGCAGCTGCGGCAGCGACATTAGCGTTTCCTCCGATGATTGGGTTTCCACCACCGCCACCACCTCCGCCTCCACCTCCGCCACCACCGATGTTAATTCCTCAGCAAGTTACACGACAAGGTGAGATTAGTACCTTTTTTTTTTATCACACTTAAAAGCAATGCGACAGAATTGGCTTTACAAGTTTGCAATGACAATTGTTACAGGTTCAGTTCCTATTACGACGTACTCCTCGCCTGCACAAATAAGCAATCCATACATGTCAAATATGGTAGATCCATGTTTAAGTGCAACGCCAAAAACATACGACTCTACATCAACTTCAATGATCCATCCAGAAATTATCGAGCAAATTATTAACACAAAAATCCCTGAGGACGAGGGTAAGAAGAAGCCAAAAATTAAAGGTGTTAGCACAGCGGCTGAATTGGCTATCAGCCAAGGAAAAGCAAGCTCCATTATGGCTAACGCTAGTGCAGAAGAGAGTCATCCAAAGGGAAAAGGGAAGAAAAATAAGAAGATAATAAGGACAGCCGGTGGACAAACCTGGGAGGATCCTTCCTTATTAGAATGGGACGATGGTTGGTAACAAATACGTTTGTCTAAGCAACATAATTAGGTTTCTGTCTTGTAAAAAGTTGTATAACAATACTATTGATACTGTCTAGATGATTTTAGAATATTTTGCGGAGATCTGGGGAACGATGTCACTGACGAGATGCTAGTGAGGGTATTCGGAAAGTATCCTAGCTTTCAAAAGGCAAAAGTAGTCAGAGATAAACGGACAAATAAAACCAAAGGCTTCGGATTTGTGTCCTTTAAAGATCCACAGGATTTCATCAAGGCAATGAAGGAAATGAATGGTGAGTCAAGTTATTTATTCTTTTACAATAAATATATATACGTGGAACAAAAAATATTCCTTTCGATCGTAACATTGATACTTTCTATATAGTTTTGGAGTGCTATCGTTTACTTGGCACGTGGACGCATTACATTTTAAATAGAAAATTTAATACGCGTCATATGTTAAACAAAATACTGCACAAAGAGATATAAATTACAATATTTTAAATATTAGAACTTAATTACAGCTGCAATAAAACTCGACAATTGTTCTGCGTTTGTTGATTATTTATATTCTGGTTTCGTGAAGATCGATGTCTCTCTTTCTCTCTCACTTTACGTCTCATTTTTTATCATGTATGATGATCGATCATCGTCTTCGATATTGTACATCATCGCTTGTTTCTACTTTCCAAAAGAACCCCAGCCATACGATATAAACAGTTGTGGTATAGTCCAATACTGTTTTCTTGGTTGCACGGTAGATTGGCCATTTCGCGAATTGATGCGCGAATTTGGATGTTCTACGAACGATGTCGAACTCTCGGTCGTCGCACTCGATTCTTGTCGCTGGGACGCTATTGATATGTATTAATATACGTTATTTATAAACATGTTAAAAAAAACCTCTTTCCTTTTTTTACGTTAATACTGCATTAATACTTACTCATTGTTGTTGCAACAACGTGATTTGATCGCGGACCATGCATATATAAAACAGAAAAAGGCATGCCGCCAGCTCCCCAGCTACGGGATCCAAATACATCCTTCTTCGTGAGTTTAATAGGCATTTGCTTATTTGTTGGCAAAGATGCTCGAATTTCTCGACCCGGCTCCCCTAATGTACTATCCTTCCAAGCTCTCAACGTAAATTCGGATGCCGGATTTGCAACGCGACGTCGAGGTTGTAATCTATCAGACATAAAAAATACTCAATGGTTAATTACACAATATGGTGCTAAGACAACTATTTTAGGAAAAGTTTCTTTTTAAATAGTAACTTGACATTGTCGATTGTCAAAAATATATATATTCTGGTGAAAATTTTTTGAAAGAATTTTTTGCATAATTTTCAGAGTTTCTATAAATTTCAACAATTTATAATTTTTATAATTTTATATGAATTGATATAATTCATATGAATAATTTATAATTTATATGAATTAGAACATTTTTCAAAAATACTAGGAGGAAAAGATCCCACAATTCGCAATGTCAATAGATGTCAAATCGAAAAAACCGATTATTTCTGCCTGGGATAGGTTTTAAATTAGTAATGATTAATATTCATTAAAACTACGTACTAGCTGAGTTAAATACATAATTACGTATATTATTTAGATTTTATTCTTTAAAAGTGAAAGATAGATAGACCACTTAGATTTTATTATTTAATTTGGTACATTCAGTTTAGATATTTTATTTTTTAATTTAATACATGTTTTTTCTTTGAGCAATGCGTAGACTTGTCACCTTTCTTCAAAAAAGTAGTCTTGTAATGTTTATCTATCGATAAAAATGTGTTTATCATATGAGTTAAATAATGAACATATACAAATTTATTTTAACTAATATCTCGTTAGTGAATTTAATTTAGTGAATTTAATATTTTAATATTTTCCAATTATTATTATTATTATTATTATTATTATTATTATTATTATTTATGCATGATTTTATTATTTATGTATTTGAAATGTATAAAGAAGTATGGAAGCAGAAATAATTTGTTAATAAAATTATCATTGTTTACTTCTATAACAATATTGACATTAAAAGAGCCTTTGTAGCATTTTTACTAATTATCACATCATGTCTCAGCGCGTGAAATGTATTGTACTTTTTGCAATTTTTAATTTCTCTGTAGTTCTTCCACGCGTGCGCGCGCGCACATACACACACACACACACATTTGATTACATATAAATTTTGTTGTCGTAAACTTTTCAAATTTTTAAAATTAAAACATAAGAAATCTCAAAATAGTATTTTTATTATTTTAAAATCTCTTATGTTTTAATTTTTGAAGAAAACTTATAAAATCTGAAATATTTTTTAAAGAAATCTCCATAAATTTAAAATGTAAAAAAATTTTTTAAATATAAAGTATTATGAAAATTTTTGTACGATACAAAAATTCTCGTGATTTATATTTTAAAGGACTTTGCATATTTTAAATTTATAAAGATTTCTTTAAAAATATTTTAAACTTTTAGATTTTACAAGTTTTGATATATGTATGAGTATTATGAGTATAAATATTAATACATTCATATATATCTTATATGCAAAACACTATCAGAAGTAAAGAGGAAACGTACTATAACATTACATGCGCATATGTGTGTACCTTGAGGTATCGCTGTCTTTTTTTGGAATGATATTGCCGTCGTACGTTTCCGATATTGGTAACCATTGTCCCCAGCATTGTCCGTCAGGAGAGCATGCTGTCTTGATTGCAGGTGCAAAAATATTTCGACTCCAAGTGTCCTTTGTGTATAGCGGTGCTGCATAACCAGTCATTGTCCACAATGTGTTAAGTATCAATACTAGGAGCAATCTAGAAACTGTTTCCATTCTAATTTCGTATTTGCGACACTCTAAAAAAAAAAAAAAGAAATTGGAACATATTTGAATCTAGTAAGACACAGATATATGTTTTGTAAAATATCATTTATTTAAATCTTACGATCGCAATTAAATTTATAAAATTAATTGTGTGAGAATAAATTTATATATTTTTTATATGCATACGAAGGTCGTATAGTTTGAAAGTAAAATATGATTTATTTGGTGAGTCTCATTGAAATAAAGCTATTCGCATCTATTTACACATATCTACTCGTATGAAAATTTATTTCGTACAAATAGGAAAATTTATATAATATAAACGCAAAAATATTAAAACACTAAGATTCAATTTTGACCCAATATGACTCTTTTTACTTATAAAAAATTTTTTGTTTGCTCTCGAAATCGAATACTAATTGTTCGCTTTTTCTCTAGGTATTTTGTTTTCCAACATTCTGTAAAACGAATGACAAATCGTCGAGAAGTATCGTGAATGTTGGCACAATTTTATCGGTGTATCGTAACATCATCTGTAGGAATTTGTTTTCGAAACAAGTATTGCCAGATAGAAGTAATTCCAAGGAATGCCGAACATGCCGAACATGCAATTAAGGAAGTCTTTTGCTATCATCCCCGTGCGCCTAGTGCGCATCATGGACGAGAGCGAAAACTCGCGGACCCGTTTGTCACTTGGCGAAACGTTTAATCGTCACCGCAATAGTGATTTTGTCGACAGGCGGGTATGCTGTTTATGTTCTTCTCCCACGAAATTTCTACAACGGCTGATACTATTTATATAACATTCCTCTTAATTTTAGCACCACGCTACTCGTACACACACATATACACACACACACACACACACACACACACACACACACACATATCGCGTACATCCATACGACACGACGTGACAACAAGTTAAACAAGTTTGCGAAGAAGAGAGACGTTATCCTTCCGTTACGTCCGGGCGGAGGTGGAAAAGTCGAGGGAGAACTGCGAAACATCTAGACTCGCGGACACGCAACGTTTTTCGCGATAATAATAAGAATACACGGCCGTAATGAGGTATTCGTTCTATCTCGATGCTTCTCTTTTTCATGATATTGCTGCTATACAAACACTTCCGACATGGATAACATGGAAACTGCTGTGAAAATTCCGTATTAACCCTCAACTGGAGCTCTAGGTGTAGTACATACATCCAGAGAATCCCCCTCCCCTAAAAAACCGAAATTAAAGGACTTTCTTTTCCTTTTCTCCTGAATATCTCGAATACTTTCAATTTCTCGATTTTCGCACCCATTTATCCTCTTCTTTCGGACAATTTGACGTATCGATTAAAAAAAAAAAGTTCAAATTCTTTGCATTACGTACAAAGATATACGCGATTGAAAACGTTGAGGGTGTCGCACACCCAGTACTCCAAAATCGGAGAAATACAGATAGTGCTCCAGCTGATCGGTTAATAACAAAATTGTATAATAATCGTAAGATCGACATGTAGGATTCGCAAAAAGACAGGTCAAGATGGTATCGCATTTTACAAAAAAATTTCTTCGCTTCGTGCAGTTTATCTCGTTAGACAGATTCAAAAGGATCTAGATTTTTAAATTGAAAAGAAATACGTACCTTCGGAATACGCCGCTCTATCGTTCGTTCGTTCGTTCGATTTGCGCCTCCACTTCCTCGGCATACACTCTTATGAATAAATACGGGGTGAACCGCGGCTCGAACCGCGCGGCCGTACGGTTTGTCGGTTATCCGTCGGGGTGGATGTGACCAAGTGCGTCAGGCAGGCTGAGCGTTCCGCTACTCATTCAACAACCCCTACCTCCTACTACAAATTCTCGTAATACCCCACTCTCTTTGGCGACAGCCAATCGAAAATCTTGAGGTAGGCTGTACGATCCGGCTATTCGCCGTATCTCTTTTTTTTTTTATTATTTTCCTCTACTCATCTTTACTATTTCTCATAATCATTGTCATGTCACTGTGATTTCTCTCATTTCTTTTCACGTTGGATGAACTTTTCCAACACATATGAAGCAAATTACTTTTGAAAAAATTATGACTCAGTTACAGATATTTTCTAAACTGTATTGATCGTGTGATTTAAGAACGTTAAGTATTGTCAACTTTCTCAAATATTGATGCAAGAAGCGTAAAGGAACAATTTGGAATTTTCAGATGCAATTTATAGCGAGCTCGGGCATTCCTTTAAGGGGGGGGGGGGGTTGTATAGTTAAATTGAAGGAAAAATTTATTAATTTATTAAAAAAAAAGGAACGAATGTGTGTGTGGATATAGTTCATTTAGATTTTTCTTGCTATTATATTTGATTGTATTTGATGTAGAAAATAATACAAAATTTATTAAAATTATAGGAGTTGTTTGTCATTGAAAAACAGGCCCGAAAATTTTGAGTGTCTCACGTTTCGTCACGATTCCGTGACTTGCAAAGAGGTAATTTACTATTTTCTGATATAGTTTTCCTTAAGCTCATCTTGCTCTACAGATTGAGCCTAAAATCGGCCATTGGAAAAATTTTGTTAAAAAATGATAACTAATTAATGGTTACGCGCGGTAACTGTGTTTACCCTGACGGGGATAGACGTGGAACGTGGGTGAAAGCAGTTGCGAGCAGATCTTTCTTAGCGTGTTTGCTTAAAGATAATTTGGCCGATAATCAAGTTTGTGACGGTTAACGCGAAATAAAGTACAAGGCTTGTTTCGCGAAACGTACCTATGTATTTCTTCGGATTGCGCCGATTATTAAAATATTTTCGACTTGATGAAAGACATTCGAACGAGCATCCAAGGAATCCGCTGCAAAATACGCCGACTTTATTTACATTTATTTGCCAAGTTATACATTCAATCTTTGACGTCTGTGATGTACAATAAAATATAAGCGCGCGAGTGCGAAAGATACGGTGAATCATACGCGGGTGGTGAGGATACGCATGGAAATTTGTTGAAATTTCTGTGATCGCGAACGATACGGATGGAATTCCGCGAAGAGATTTGTTGCGCAACATAAAATGCGCTCTCTCGTCATGTAAAGCGGTGTCTACAATGAGCCTTAAGACTTAAGACTTAAGAAAATTGACTAATCACAATCGATTATTCTTCTTATGTGAGATCAATAATCGACTATGGATTGGTCAATTTTTTAAAATGTCAAGTCTTAAGTCTCATAGTAGACGCCGCTTAATTACGAAGGCGATCGAGGTCTCTTATTTGTAACGAATATTGGCTAATGCCGTAAACATGAAGCGGCATAAATTTCTTTGTGAATTTCTTAAAGTCTGAGTTTCTTGATTTTTGTTCAAGATTTATATTATGCTATGCTACCGCGAGAAAAAAAGTAGGAAAAGAAAGAAAGAAAAAAAAAGACTCTTGGCTAGTTATGCCAGGAGAGAAAGGGGTGGGGGAGGAAGGGAGGGGGAGAGAGAGAGAGAGAGAGAGAAAATATAGAACGCCTAGCTAGGAGTATCTCGCGAAACTGAGCGGACGCAACAAGTAGTTTGAACAAACGAACGAGTGAACGCCAGATTGAAAACTCGTCCGATCGCGTGCGCGTAATTGATGTAATTAATAATATATGAGATGGAGTTTTCTGGATGTGATGAACAATAGAACGGATATGTGATTCGTAGTTGCTCGAGGTACTCGCAGGGCCTGAGATTAATCGTTGGCCCGCAGTGCAACCTCGCAACACGTTGATCAAAACTTACACAACTGATCCGAATTCTCATCTCGATCGCGATGACTTTTGTCTCGAATGAATCCTACGTTTGGATATTCTAACGTTATCATCTTTGGTTGCACGGGAGTCTTTTCGCAATAATTTAATTTTGATCACAGCTTATAATATCAAGATCAAAACCAAGATGAAACATTTAAACTGCCTATCTGAAAAAACCTGGAAAATCTGTTTCAAATAATTTCTTTTTTATCGTTGGAAATAGAATTTTGTTAATAATCAGGGGAATTTTTGATATTTTACTTTTAAATTTACATTTTTCTAAAAAATAGTTTTTTTTATCTTTTTTTTTTGATCATGCAAAATGTCGACATTTGATGTGTATGTCATACTTATTGTTGACCGATTGTCTATATTTTGCACTATCAAAAGGAAAAATTAGTACGTTATACACAGATGTATATGCCATACTAATATACATTCTCGTGCGAATTTTTATAAAAGAATCGGAGTAACAAATAATACATAGCAGAGATCGGAGTAGAAAATAATACATAGCAGAGAAGAGTATAAAGTTGCTGATATAAAATATCGATAATACTGTTTAACGTTTAACAAAACGTGATTTTTAGTTCAAGAATGAGAGTAATTATTTTTCATAGGTTTTTATATACTGAATACGACCTTTTTTTATAATTTAAGATATCGTATAAATGAAAACATGACATTAAATTTGAATTTTCTGTTGCATTTGCATGTCCTATTTTTATAAAATCTTAGAAACTATTTTATATTATACCAATCGATAAAAAGATCCCCTTAAAAAGAATTTATTGTATTAATTATGGTTAAAAGATATTTTTCTGATCTATAAAAAATTCTCTAATTTTACTTGGAATTTTTAATAAAAGTATCTGGAAAATTCAGGAATTTTCAATTTTTTTTTTTTTTTACAAAAATAACGTAAAAAAATGACGATAATAACGTTTCTCGTATTCTCAAATCGAAATATAAAAAATTCGCTAATTTTACTTGGAATTTTTAATAAAAGTATCTGGAAAATTCGGGAATTTTCAGAGATTTTTTTTTACAAAAAAAGCGATAACAACGTATCTCGTATTCTCAAATCGAAATGCAGCGCAGTGTTGTGCGGTAACGATTTTTGTGCCACGTGCAGTGTCCAATTTCTACGGGAACGCGCGCGCGGACGTTATTAGGACGAAAGACAAATATATCGTGTGCGTTGCTCGTGGATATTTACTTGCGTCATATGACATTCGAATCCTATGAGCGATTTGGTAATTAAAGCGTTGAATGGGGGACTTCTGTTCATTTTCATGTCCAGTTTCGCCGTAAAAGCGACACAAAAGTGACAAGGAATTTGCCGCGTGGGCGATCAGGATCGGGATCGAGATCATCGAGATCGGGAACGCGCGAGAGAGAAAATGGGAGAACCGAGGTCGTGAGCCCCTGCGTTCTCTTTGGCGGAATTTCTCATTGATGCTGGGCTATCCGAAAGGATATTTTTGGCCCCGCGCAAATATTATCTTGAATGCCTTGCGATCTCGGGATTTCGATGCAACTGCAAACATGCGTATTACCTATCACTGGCACGAATGATCTGCTGTCTTTCACTACCGTTTTTATAGCGTTCAATTTTTTCAATGATATTTGCATTAAAGAGACGCAAATAATAAGTGAATACAGTGAAACGTTATATGTACAGTGAACGAGTAATTTTGTGCGAAGATCTACGCGACGGTGCGCGGCGAAGGCGTTACAAGAAGGTCCCGTTTATTTTTCGGCCATAACTTCAGAATGCTTCCAGGCTCTTTGCTATGTAGGAAAAATTTCGTCGCGGTTTCCTTTGTAATCGTTGAACCGAAACACGCTGTAAAAAAGACGGCCGAGTAAGATATAAGGGAAACGCGAGTGAATATTGCGAATAGCTTTAAATGGCTGTTTGGGGTAGATTTGTATTCTTCATTCCTTGATCCAGCTGAGAGAAGCGGAAAAAGAAGGAATTACAGCCGCTGCTTTTAATTTTAATTATATAAATTTTTAATAAATTATTTGAATTTTTTTACAAAAATTGCGAATGACTTTTGGCGATTGTTTTAAATTTAATAAAAACATTCTTAGAATTTTTATACAATTTCGGGATTACAAATGCGAAAAGAGATGAATGCGTCACATATTTTGTATTCCGCGGGAGATCAATTTCTATTTTCATTCTTCTCTTCTTGGAATATTTACTTATATAGATAAGCTTATGTGAGAAAACTTATCGTCCCCTGTCACCTGTTGCTGCGAAGCCAGTAAGCTCGGGTTTCCGTGCTATCGTTGCGAATAACGCCAGTTGCGAAAATAAAATTGTCAAATTTTTTTTATTTATGTTACACACACATACACACAATATATATTATACAGAATATCTCAGGAAGAAAAGAAAATAATCTGGTATATCTATTATTTTAAGCAAAAAAGTTATAAACATGTGTCCTATCCCGAGCGGTTTCCGATATAATTTGAATTCAACGCGCAATATTGCTAATATTGCACAATATTGATATCACGCATTTCTTCTAATAATTTATTGTTCACATTTTTTAAAGTTTATAATAAATTTTTAAAAATTTTACCGTTAACACATCAATGCATTTTTCTATTTTTGTGAGAATATGGCGTGTTGCTATCTGAATGTCGTTTGAAATATGAATAGTGGGAAAGCGTATTATATATATTACTTTACGCAATGTATTGAAAACCTAAAAAACACAATTCGGAATTCTGCGTGTTGGAAAGCGTCGACGATATCCTCCAACAGCAGTAGTGACACTACCATTACAGAAGCTGTAAATATACAGCATATCTGCGTATTCGACATTTGTGAATATATGCAGCATTTTCAACTCCGCTTCCATACTCTAGCAAAAGAATACCTATCTACAAATCGGATAAAAACTCAACCAGAGCCCTTTCACATAGGTGAAGGTCCCACAGAATATTTGCTATGCTACCTGTATGTGTAGATCATGAATATTCTCTTCCTAGACGAGTCCATACAATGTTACAATCAACACAATAGTTAACAGACGCAAACAGTGGTCAGCGGATGCAATCGTAACATTGCGTGTCAAGTTATTTCGAAAACTGTTTGGAATAGAATACATGTTTATATGAACATTTTTGTTTATAAAATGACCGACACTCTCACCTTTCAGAACATTTCCTTTTCTTCCTGAGACACCCTGGAATAGGAAGGAAAGAATATAAGAAGGAAAGAAGCGAGAAAATACCCAATAAAAATTCTTGCAAAAATATTAATATGGAAATATGTTTCAATAAAATATAATTGATAAAAACTGATTCGTAAAATATTGAAAACTTCTTTTATTTTGTTAATAATAAAATAATAAATATTGATGTATCTGGAAGTGAGTTATGCATAATTAAAAATAAGTTATATACATATAGTTATAGTTGTGATAACTGTCAAATTAATAAATATATAGAAATAAATATGATTTAATCCTCCTCGAAATAAAAAGATTTTTCGATATAAGTCTATTCTATTGATTGCAAATTTTTATTGAAAAATATTTCTATTTGAATATATTTTGCAAGAATTTTTATTGTGTATTTTTCGCCTTTGACAATTTGAGATAGTAACAGTGAGTGAACAGGAATTTTTTTAACCAAACACATGTATTGTATAAGTCAAAAGTTGAAAATTTGAGAATACATGTAATATTTTAAAATATGCCAATGGAACGCTTAAAAGTTCGATTCATGTCTTACTCAATATTTTTTCTTAATTTGAAAGTAAATAAACATTATATTTAAGCAGTTATAATCAACATAGCATTGTTTAATTTCAAGAAAATAAACTATGATCATAAAGTCTTTTTTCCAAAAGTTGTGGACTATTTTAGAATAGGTGAGAGTCTTCCGTCAGGAAAAATAAATAAATACATAGATTACTGAAATATTAATAAAAAAATTTTGCCCGCAGTAAAAAAAATTTTATATAAAAAATACAAAATTATATGAAAAAATAGTATAATACATATAAAAATATATAAACTGTATAAAATTATATTCATATTTATAATCTATTTTTTAAACAGAGAATATAAAAATTTATAATTGCGTAACGAGCAGTTTTTTAATTATTTTAATTGTAAAATTGTAGCAGATCATTAGTTCTTAATATGTGACAAATTCATTTATTATAGAAATTCACAAGATATGTTGGGTTTGTTTCAGGTCGGTATGTAGGATCGCGTCCCATAAAACTTCGGAAGAGCTCCTGGAAACAAAGGAATCTGGAGTCTGTACGCAAGAAGGAGAAGGAAAAGCAAGCGTTGATTGGTTTGCTTACCGGCCGATGACGAGATAAAAATTCCTTTTATGCTTCGATTATTCATCAATAAAATTATAAATAATCAACGATCGCCTCGATATTGGAACGAAGAAACATGTCGGATACATCATCGTGAATGACGGCAACAATATTCAATTTCATCGTCGACTGTTTGGAAGAATATACATGCCAATAAAATAATAATTATAAATTTGTTACAGTATCTTGGCTTTTATTTCTTAATATTATTTTTCTTGATATGAATCGCTGTCAGACTCGTTTTCCTTTAAGATAGATGACAGAATCCCGTACGTATGAAAACGTCGAATTTTTCATGTGTGAGTTTATGTACACGTTATATATCACGTAAATCAATAAAGGACAATCAATAAGACTGTAAGATCGATTGGTGCGTAAACAATCGAGATTTAGGTTGATTGATTAGGCATTACATGAGATGCGTGGCAGAATATAACAAAAAATAGAATGGAAAAATCGTTAGTAAACCCGAATTCGGATGAACAAGGAGAGCAGGAGATAGATCCACTCGGGGTATATAAGCACTTAAACAAATTATATTGATCTTTTTATTTTTATTAAAAATTGTATACTGATAAGAAATTATAACGTGAACGTTTCGTAACAGCCGTGCGTTTTAATTTGTGCGATACGTTGAAACGTGTTTGACGCTCGTACGAGACATCTTTCTACGAATGATCGCAGGTCTACGAGGGCGGAAGAAATGAGAGTGGCGAGAGGCACGGGGATGGAAAGACTTTGCTACCGAACGGCGACATGTACGTCGGTCAATATCTTAACGGGCTCAGGCACGGCAAAGGTATCTACGTATTTAAAAATGGTGCCCGATATAACGGCGATTGGAGACACGGACAGAAATACGGCCAAGGGATTTTCTGGTACCCTGACGGAACGCGATACGAAGGTACGGAAGAATGTAATACAAAAATAGGATCCGAATCAGACTTGAGGAAGTCGCACCGTGGCACGTGGGCACGTCGACGACACGTTCATATGTATATTCATACAATTATTTTTATGTCGCACGTCAGAAATCTTAGAGAAGCTAAGAGTGTGCCAGAAATTTGAGGGAGGTGCGGATGCGCGGCTTCGAGCCGCCCGACACAGTCCACGAGATCTTCGCTAAAGATCAAACTCGATGATACTTGACTCCGATGATTGATTTGGCAATGATTATATTCGTTTATAAGTAAAATTTAACGATGCGTTAAATATTAATTCCGCTTAGGGGAATGGAAACGCGACGCGAAACACGGCTTCGGTGCTTATTATTACGTGAACAATGACATTTACGAAGGCTCGTGGATGGAAGATCTTCGCCACGGTATGGGAACATATCTGTATGCCGATACAGGATCGAAATTTATGGGCACGTGGATGAAAGATTGCATGCATGGACCCGGACAACTCATTCACGCGCGCTATCGCTTCCATGGTTTCTGGAAGCTAAACTTGGTACGGAATGAAAACAGAAGACAGAACAGTAATTGCGATACGTTGATTATGTATCTCTTCACGAGTCTCAAGTAGAACGATAGCATTTCATTTATAAGAGCCTAAACCAGTGCTGTCTGAATCTTAATTCTGTATTTCTGAATATTGACTTAATCGACGTGTGTCGGTGTTTATCCATTAAGGAAAAGGAAGGCGTGAATGCCGATATAAAGTCAATTCTCGGAATTACGAATTTTGAGCAGCATTGGCCTAGATCAAAGAAATACATATTTAATAGAGATATATACATATATGTACATATATTCATATTAATAAAGATATTATCGCAATATATAATATATATTTCTGATACAGCCGTATGGACGTGGTTGCTTCACCTTTGAGAACGTATGCATGCAGCACGGTCATTATATACACGTGAGAGATCCCACGTTTGATGGTCCAACTTCGATGGACGCGGATAAAATCGTTGTAGAAGTACTTTGTCATTTTTTTATATCACTTTTTATCAATTTTCAGCGAATTGTTATCTAGAGAGTCATCTTTATTTCTTATATAGACTTACACGATTGTTATACAAATTGAAGTAGTATATATATATTTTAAAACTGAAGTAGAAAATGTCTTATACATATGGGTTTAATTCGAAACAGTTATCCATTTACAAATGTTTAAAGTTTATTAATGAAAATATAATTTTTTATAATACTTTCTAAATAAAAATAAAAAATAAGGAAAAACATGAAAATCATAAACTGTTTAAATAGACATTAGTTCTTCAAATATTATTATTAATACGCAATATAATGCGATCTAATAATAAGATGAATTGAGTAATCATAGGAAAAATATCATAATTGTTCTTTATTTGTTTATATACATTCCTAGTGAAAAAAAATCACATTTTTTATATTTGAAATTTTATTTGATAATTTCTAAAAAAAGTTTTAAACTTCTTTATAAATTTTCTTTGGAAATTATAGAATGAGAAAAAATCTTTGAATATTTCCGATTTTCCGAATGTACATATTTTCCGAATCTACATATATAAAGAATTCTAGGAAAGATGTAGATTTTCCTATCATTTCTAAAAAGTATTCTAATTCTTAAAAAAAATCCCTATAGAAATTTTTTAAAAAATTATAAAAAAATTATATAGAAATTCAGAAAATTTTAAAATTTATTGTGAAAATTTTGAAAATTATGTGAAGATTTCTAAGAAAAATAATGATCTAGGACGCGTTATTAATACACTGTATTAACTTCGGTTTGAGTAGTAACACTTTCTTTCGTTTATTAAACTTTTCACATCCATGCGATCCATAGATTTTAAATTGCTATGATCAATTAATGATTACCAACGCAGAAGAGATATTCTCAGAAATTAAAAATGAGAGCAGTCGAGTGATGTACTGATTGCGAAGGATCCTAGGTTTTATAAATTGTTCAAAAAATTTTTTTGGCATGCTTTTTATTTTATATGATATAAAATAAAAAGTATGCATATATTATTTTATATTTTATTTATATGATTTTTATTTTAAAACTTATAGAGAATTGTATTATTATAACATTATTATTATTATTATTATATCAAATTTTATTTTAAATATGTTATATGTATATATTATTATTATATATTATATTAATATATTATATATAAAGAAATTATAATGATATAGGAGACTGGCAATGACGACAAAATGTCAATATTAAAGGAAGAACCATTGTCGACGATGGGCTTTCGGCCAATCTGGCGCGCGCGTTGTATCACGCCTTACAACCCGGAGTTATTGCCGCCAGAAGCAGTACTCCTGCGAGAGGAAGTAATCAAAATCATAATCACGTATATTCGGTAACTCGCATCGTTTCAAGTTGCATAATCGTTCAAATGAAGTGTTAATAATACGCGACGCTGATATATATCACCTCTATATACTCCTCTGGATAAATAATCGGTCAAAGGTGGATTTTAAAGTTCACAGCATAACACATCCGTCTCATTCCGGGGATAGGCGACATCGAAAACGGATATTAATATTAGAAAGCGGAACCGCGAGTTCGCGATCTATATCCGGTCGCCTTTTCCCGAACGGGGAGGTAGAATTTCCTTAATACCGCTGTCTGCGTCATCGGAAGCGGAAACGGATTCTTCCGGTAAAATGAATTTTAATCGACCGCTTTGTACTAACAAGAACTAGCGAGTATCCGGTCTAGCTATTTCCAGCGCGTCGCCAGACGGGCTTGCGGGCTTCCGTATAATCATTAATAGAATTACGATATCCGGGCAGGATAGTGGCCGTCTTTCTTTTCAAACCGCGGTGTTTACGTCGCTTCACCTGTCCTGACGTGTATCATCGGTATCCGGCGGGAATTAAAACCTTAACGTAATGCATCTCGAAACGTCTCTCGATCTCTGACACAGCGTCGCGTTTTTAGGTGTCAACGGAATCCTCAATCGTTAAAGGCGAGGATGAGGTTTGGCCGAAGCTCGAAGGGCACTCCGATTATCTAGAAGACTATCGCGAGGAGCATCATCAGGGAGAGGCGATGATCGACGATCCTTGATTGCGACGGGAAGTATCAAGCTCTAAGCTAATCGATCAATCGATTTGCGAGAGCGTGTCACACATCCCCCGTCTTGCATTGTTACGTATAAATATATTAATTTGCTACAATAGAGGTGATACAAAAAAAAAACGAAACAAAACGAGCGTGCTTTTAAGCGCTTTATTTAGGAAATTATAACAACGAATGTGTGTATACGTATTCGCCATGCAAAACGTAGGAATGCTATTACATCGTCGGAAATTAGTCTCGTTTACGCTGTAATAATATAATAAATGCAAGACACGCGTGTTCGCGCGCATGGTTGACAGTCCTATATACTCAGGTCGTACATTATTTACAATCTCTATCTCTAGTTAGTGCAGTGTCGAATGCTGCAATGTAATGTATACATATATATATTATGTGTTTGTGTGTGTGGGTGTGTGTGTGTGTATATATATATATAATATGTATATAATTCCATCGCGTTATATATAAATATATAAATATATATATATATATATATATAAATGTATATAAATATATTTATATATTTATATATAACGCGATGGAATTATATACATATTTTTTAGACATATTAAGTGTGAAATTGAAAGCGCAAGCTCGGTTATTATTGTTAATCATTACGCGATACAAGCACGTTCGTGAGGCGCGCCACCACGAGACACAGACACGATTATATTTCTGCGCCTGCATCTACGTTTATTTATATGTCTATGTTCTATGCCTAAGCTTACGCTTAGTTTTATGCTGAGGATAATTACAAAATGCAAGAGTTGAAGGAGGAAGACTAAACTTCAGTCGGGAGACGTTGATAAAAGTTTATACGAAAGTGGGAGGGAAACGGTAGTGTTAAGTTATATATACAGCGATATTCAATAATACACTTGTTAATACAGTCATTTAATCGAATCACAAATTCAGTGACGTCATACAACCCGGCAAAGCATGCTGATTTGTTCAAGAGTAGCAAGACCCCCAACAATACTGTAAATACTGCCACTAATCTACAATGTGCTCTTTGCATCTTGTTTCTTTTACCACTTTTTACCCTTGCTTTTTTGCCTCTTATATCCTGATCCTTCACTTTCGCCCGGGATAAATGTTAAACGAAGAATCGTTAAACGAAGTTCGGAAGAGACAGAAAAATACACGACAAGAAACACGGATTGTCGATAAAATGGTCGCAAAGAGGGAAAAAGACAAAAGATAAAAAGCAAAAGGCAGGAAGCAAAGAGCACATTGTAGATCCAGCAAGGTAAAGATACAATTTCGAAGCGGAACGCATAAATTTATATACGTCCGTACTTTTCTAGTTGATTGCTTCGTGCGACTAATTATACTCCTCATAAGAAAACGAATCATATCAAGAGACACGACAGGGTCCAATAGAGATCTATAGAGGCGGTAAAAGGACGGAGGAGAGGGCGAATAAATAGATAAAATTGTCGCGTAAGAGATCGCAGTCTTTTAACAATAAGTTACGATGGAGTCACGAGTAAGCGGAGTGCGTACTATAATCAAAAATCCGTAAAGTTCATAAAGTGCTTAACAGAGATAAAAAGTGTTATCGAGAGAACGATACGATAACTATATAGTATTTATATCGTAGAAATTGTGTATTAGACCGTCGTGTCAAAGCATCGTCAACGCTGCCGTGCTAAGCGTAGCGCGAGTCGCGCATCTTTTCGCAGGCTCGGCTCGTTCTTCGGAAATGAGAGTTCCGGATGAGTTTACAAACGAATTTGTAGAGTCCACGGGCGCACTGGCGCGCTAGCGCGAGCAACATCGCGATAGTAAAATACTTTGGTCTGCGACTCTGCGTCCACTTGGCACAAGATAAAAAAAGAAAAAAATTCGTGAGTAACGCGACGTACACACAGCCTTGATCCGGTCAAAGTGACTTTGTGCTTCCTCTCTCGCCTCTCGGTTTCTTCGAGGTAGACTTCGAGGGACTTCGTCAAGAGAAAAAGAGAGAGAGACAACACCGACTTCGATGTATGTGTTTTCGCCATATTTCTCTACGGCATCGGAAATCTCACGACAGTCGAATTATCGAGTATAAGCTATTCGTACGCTCGGCGCGTTTGGCGCGTTGTGAGAAGTCGTTTATACACGATCTTGCTTGAAACTCGTATCGCGCGCGCGGGCGCGCCCGCGCGCGAGAATGTCTAATGTGCGTTTAACGTGCCAACGATTTTCTTTGAAATAGTCGTTTAAGCATCTCAGGTACGTAAACGTGGACGAAATTTTTTTGCGCTTTGTTGTTTAGCGAAGCGATTTGTTTTCTTCGGCGGGCAATGTCGTGCCCAGCTCTCGGGCGAATGAGTAATTCCCGTTGTTTCGCTCCCAAAATGAGATTTCTCTTCCTTGCTTATACAGCACACGTGTATATCCATATCTATATACAAATTGGAGCTTTCAACTTCCGATCTCGTCGATGTCATGAAATGCGTTTGTAAGAACGGGGGCCGTTCGTATCTTATTGATCAGCGGGCAGGAGAAACGGGGACGGTATTGATGATACTCCCGCGTGACAGAAAAACCGTGCATACAAATTGCGAAATTGCGCACGCTCATCATTTGGCGTGGACAACGGGATTTCTTTTTCACTCGATAAATACCGTCCTGACTTATTATGTCGAATGTAGACGATCCTAGATGCGTCTCATTTCGGAGACGTGGACACGAAGCGGCTAAACAACGCGGCTATCTCACATCAGGTCCGACGGCGGTCTCTGAAATGCGATGCTAGCTACGGAAATGCTGCACAGTCCGGCCGTTATGATACCCATGCATATGTAGACCGATGTAATTAGCCAGAAGGCGAATAAATATAGCGTCTTGTTGCAATACTTTCCTAACGCTGGATCGTAATTTGGCTCGTATTCTTTGTATACCCACATAGAACCTGTAACGAATAGATTCACAAGATTATTCTCAAGAATGTCTGATATGCCGAATATAATTAATAAATCAACAACAAATTGTAACAGGTCGTTAACTGAAGTCTTGTAAAATAAATCTTTGAGAACTTCCAGATCTTCCTTTATTTTTATTTTAAAAAATTCCAGATAAGATTAGAAATTTTAATGCAACTTTGAGGTAAATTAGACTGCAAGCAATGCGAATGAACTATATTTTATACATATATAATAAGTTTAGTAGAAGACAAAGTTTCCACGAGATTATATTTATTCTTTTATAACTTTTACAACTAGAGCAACCTATAAGATAGTAAAAGAAAGGCTCATTACAGTACAATATCAATGAGTTATTGTCTTCTATTATATATTGTCTTCATCCCAATTTTTTAAATAAAAATTTGAGAATCACACACGAATGTCGACATTTTACATTATCAAGAAAATAAATCATTAAAGAAACAATTCTTTCAGAGAGACAAAAAGCTCCTATTCACTCATCACTATCTCAGTTAGTGATGTCAGAACAATACAAATAATAAAAATTCTTGCAAAATACATTAAAATGGGAATGTTTCAATAAAATAACACAATCGACAGAATCGACTTGTAAAATATACCGAAATACCTTTTGTTAACAATTAATTATATATAATATATAGGAATGAATATGATTTAATTCTTCTCCAAAACAAAAAGGTTTTTCGATATAAGTATTTTATAAGTCTATTCTATCGACTACAAATGTTGTTTTATTGAAAAGTATTTCTATTTGAAAATATTATGTAAGAATGTTTACTTTTTCGCATCTGACGTCACAATCTAAAATAGTAGAAGTGAATGAATAAGAACTTTAAAAGTAAAACTCTAAAAATTTTCTCGAGTATTAATCAAATTTTATGAAAATATCGCATATTTTCAAGCATAAAAAAGAAATCTTCTGAAAGTCTCAAATTTGCCAGCTGTTTCTAGATAGTAAATATCATGTATAATTAAAAACCATAGTAATATGACTACCGATAATGAACCATCCCAGCATGAAACAAGTAAAACTCTAAAGATTTTCTCGAGTATTAATCAAATTTTATGAAAATCTCACATTTTCAAGCATAAAAAAGAAATCTTCTGAAAGTCCCAAATTTGCCAGCTGTTTCTAGACAGTAAATACCGTGTATAATTAAAAATCATAGTAATATGACTACCGATAATGAACCATCCCAGCATGAAACAATTGATCAGGGTCTGCGTAGGCGACTGCCTGATCCTCTCTTCGTCCCTTTCCTCTTGACGCTGCCGCACTCTGGCCGATAAAGTTAACAATTGCTTAAACACTCCGAATCCACCGCCTACCAACAGGTATACGGGAATGTATTCACCCTGCGGACAGTCGTAAAGGTACAATCCACCGATCACCATCATGCAAACTGGTACCACTATCGTCACTCCAAGGATGATGGTGCACCCGACTGGAAAATGTCAATGTGTTCACATTGAAATTATTAGAGTTTCCTCGAGATGTTGTATTTCTGAGCCGAAACGTTTAACAAGCATATTGTGACTTACTCGTGCCTAAGAGCAGAACGACGATATTCTTTAGAAAATCAAATATCCCCTTGGATATTTTACGAGCTTCTCTCATACGGCCGAACAATGAGTCGTAGGACGGCGGCGGTGCTGAAAACAATATACCGCAAGATAGGAGGTAAGAGCGTTGATAAATTTGAGGTGTGGGAATTTAGAACAGGCAAACAAGTATTGGTTGGAAGAAGAAAACTAGGTTTGTATACTCTGTAGGGAAGGCGCCGATTGTATGGAACATTTTGTGAAGGATTGCTTAGCAACTAGAGATTGGTTTAATGAAATAGAGAAAGAAGAAGATGTAATTACAAGGTGGATCTAGAATGATGAGCTAGACAGTATTAAAGGGAGGTTATTAAAGAAATTATGGAAGGCTAGAAATAGAGAATTAAAAAGGAGATTACAAGGGAAAAGTATGAGTAGAGAAGAGAGCAAGGAACAGTAGGTAGAAGGTATAAGAAAAGTGTACAAGATGTATAAGAGGTATAATAGTATGTTGGGGTTAGGCAAAGCTAAATTATAAATATATGTAAGTTTGGAAAAGATATGATGTATTTAAGAGAAACGTGAAATGTGAAATTGTAAATATAAGGCGAGTGTAAGATATGAAGGTAAAATGTAAAAATGTAAAGATGCAAAAGTTAAATGTTAAATGTAAATGTAAATGTTAGATGTAAAATGTTTTAATGGATCGGAGGTGTCAAAGTATGTAACAAAGTATATAACAAAGGATGTAATAATGTAAGGAGTAGGAGATGATAAGAAGTAGGAGCCAAAAATGTAAATTATGTAAATTAAGTATGCAGATAGGTAGAGATTAAGAATGTAGAATGTAGAATGTAGATATTAAGAATAGGCTTTAAGGAATAAGTACAAAGTATAGGTTTGTCGAGCGTGATGGCGTGAAGGAATGCATGATTAAGTTTGATATGTAAACCAAGTCCCCTTTCTGGCTAAAAATGTGCTAAAGGAAATTAATTTCTTGTCTATCTCATCAGTACCGCGAGATAGACACGTTTATAGATATATGGAGATGTGCGCACATGTGTACTGACATAGGTGTACAACGAGCTAAGGGCTAACATACCGTTAGGGTCTATCGCCTCCTCGTACGAGGGCGGCGCGCCACGCTCGTTGGTCAACGTGGAGGGATGGCCGAGGGGTAAATTGATATTGTGATAGGACGGCGGCGGGGTGCAGCAGGTCGACGACGTGATCTGCGTGCTCGTGCCGGGATTCACGCTCTCCACCGCCGTCGCGGTGGGAACACTCGCGGCACGGCTTATCGAGCTCAGGGGCATCTCTTCCCGCGCGGCGCCGGTCGCCGTCCTGCTCCAATACATAAGGCTCGCGTTCACCAGACCCGGGACGATCCGAAGGCACCAGCAGCGTAAATCGCCCGTCGCTGTTTACATTGGCGATCGCTGGTCCGTATAACCTAAAAATCGCACGTTCAGAGAGGTTGCTGCTTCCCCTCGCTCCGGAGAGGGGAAGCTCGATCCGAGCGAGGAGCCTCGTTCCTTCGGTAGAGAAGTCTCGGCTCACATTTAACGAGTTAAATGGGGAACAATGGATTTCCGGAGGCGTTCTAAAAAAGAAACTCGTCGTCTCGCGTTGCCTCGCGAATCAGTCCGCGTTCCTCCACTTGCCTCGATACTTTCCCGTACTCTGCGGCGGCGTTAGTATTAACAATGTCAGCTGGTCAATTGGTATTTGGTGTTGGACTGTCAAACTTTATACTCGTTATATTGGCTTTATTCTGATGAAAATTCGAAAATTAGGCCTACATATAACAATCCTTAGATACGCGTACGTACGTTCGCGCGTGAAATAACAATTCTATTAAAATTAAAGAAAAAAAGGAATAGAAATTTCTACTATACTTAAAAAAAAAAAAAAAAAAAAAAATCTGTATAAAAAATTTCTTTTTTTTTTTTTTTTAATTTCTGTATGTACGTATATATAGTACTGCATACAAATTTTTTATTGTGAGAAATAATAATTTATGTAATATATAATGTTATTCTTTTATATGAATTGGTTTTGTATTACTATATAAATTAATATATTTGTTTCAATTTTTTATATTTTTATATAAAGATTAAACATAATATAATTGTTAGCATCCCGGGAAAAAAAGTTTCACATAATTATATATAATAATATATTATATATAACGTATGTCCATATATGTATATGATTCTTCCCTTTGTAAAATTATTCTTTAATACAAAATTGATAATATAATAAAAAGGAAACATAAAAAATAATTAAAAGAATAATTTTTTACATTGTTTTTTTTACAAAAAATCAAGTTTGAAGAAATAAGAAAAATTGTTCATATATAATTATATATATATATTTTTTAATCACATATATGATTATATATGAGCAATTTTTCTCATTTCTTCAAACTTTATTTTTTGTAAAAAAAAAACAATGTAAAAATTATTCTTTTAATTATTTTTTAGGTTTCCTTATTATTATTAATTTCGTACTATTAAAGAATACTTTTACAAAGGAAAGAAACATATATGGACATATTTTACATATAATTATATGTGAAACTTTTTTTCCTGGGATAAGAGAAAATTTTTTATAAAAATGCATGTGTATATGTATGTGTGCGATGTATTTGTGTGGTTGATATGTTCTCAAGGTCATATAGTGAACAACATTAAAAAGATTTTAGCCATCGTAATTCGAACACTTTGGATAATACTATATATAATGTCGGCGGTACTATAACTTTTAATTATTTTTATTTTTTGAAAATAAGAGCAGCAATCTTTAATGCCTTGACCTTGACAACATATTAGATCGAAGTGCCATTCAGCTAGCGAATATTGAGCGACAGAATATGAACACGCACTGATAATCTAGATTAGATTACTTTTTCCTCACGGAATTTATACACATGTATTATTACAAGGCATAACGATTATATACAACACGTTCTTGCGATATTGCGTCTTTATGCTGATATCAAATGTATTTAATAGAGGCTCTTCGATTTACATAACTATTTTAACGACACGTGGTCGTCTGTCGATTATATACAACACGTTCTTGCGATATTGCGTCTTTATGCTGATATCAAATGTATTTAATAGAGGCTCTTCGATTTACATAACTATTTTAACGACACGTGGTCGTCGGTATGTCTGACGTGTCGACACGTGGATCTGATAATTTCGATAAAACATGTTATAAGAAGAAATAAATGCGTACAATATAACATTTTTCATGAATTGAAGATTCGTAAAATTATTTTTTAATAGTAATCATTTATTAATATAAATGTAAAATTTGATTTTTAATTTTAACTTTTAATATACACTTCTCAACCAAATTAACGCATCACTTACTCTACCCTCCAAAAATAGGCAAAATTCAAGAGAGTATAACTTCGTCAAAAATGATCGTATCGAGATGTTCAAAAAAGCATTTTACAGCTTGAAATCTCTACTTTCCAAATTGATATTTTAGAAAACGATCCTACTGATCTTTCATTATTATGGATAGAACAGGAGACCCGACGAATCTCAAAATTTTTTCGAACTTTGACAAGTTTCATGTCGCGAATTAAAAATCGCATGCAAATGCAGTTTACAGCTTTTGAAAGAGTGAATCTTTACCTTTAATTTGCTTTTTTGTTGAGCGTTGTACGATTTTTTTTCACCGAGTTATTTAACATTAAAATAAAAATGGTCCCTTTTGCTTCAATGTTAAATAACTCGGTGAAAAAAAATCATACAAAATCTCAACAAAAAGCAAATTGAAGGTAAAGATCTCTCTTTCAAAAGCAGTAAACTGCATTTATGTGCGATTTTTAGTTTATGCCATGAAACCTTTTAAATTTAGTACTCATTTTTGGAGATTTGACGCATTTTCATTTGGACCTACGTAATTCCATAAAAAAATCAATAAGATCGTTTTCTAAAGTGTCGATCTGAAAAGTAGAGATTTCAAGCTGTAAAATGCTTTTTCGAACATCTCGATATGATCATTTTTGACGAAGTTACACTCATTTGAACTTGTCTATTTTAAAATTACAGAAGACATATGCCAAAAATAAAAGATCACCTTACTTTATCATCCAAAAATAAGCAAAATTCTAGAGTATTACTTCATCAAAAATGATCGTATCGAGATGATCAAAAAAGCATTTTACAGCTTGAAATCTCTACTTTTCAAATTGAAGCAAAAAGGACCATTTTTGCTTTAATGTTAAATAACTCGGTGAAAAAAAATCGTACAACG